ATTATTGCTATTATTTTTGAGTTCTTAAAGTATTGTTATTGTAGTTTCATGTTGTAGAACTCATTTTTGGGTTATGTCTTGCAATAGGCTCATGAGGGCTTCCCGTTGGTGTCTGTGGCCACTTGTTTGTTTATTTCTCTATGTTAGTGTGATCGCTTTAAATGAATGCAGTTCGCATAGGGGATCGCATAGTCTTAAATGCACCACAAAACCCGTTATTATAACGTATTTTGATGAATGTAAATGTTCGGTTACATAAACGCAACGCTTACTGTGTGACCTTCACGTCATCATTGTTTTAATTGTTGAATCTGATATTATGAAACACTGTTGAGAAACAGTGTAACGGTGTAAATGTCAGCGATGTGATAACGGGCACTTTATTGCTCGGGACTGACGGGGATGCACCGTGCAGGCGGGGTTTCCTCGGTTTTTCTGCAGATGGAGGTTCCCTTCTCCTCCCCTCCTCTTTAAAACGAGCATTCAGGGTTTGTTCAGAATGGAATACTAGTATATACTGCCTACTGTTTTTTTTAAGAGCGCGATTTATTTTTAATACCACACATAAAATGGCACCATTACCTGACAGACATTCATTTATTCTCCGTTATAAGAAATCACACCTGTTTCTGTGACATAACTGGGCTCTAGGGCTGGGAATCGATTCCAAAAAGAATCGATTCCTCGATTCCGAGGCTTTGGGAATCGAGAGTCGATTCCAAAGGTTGGAATCGATTCCATCAAGGGGAATCGACTCCTCATTCAGAGCCTTTTTCAGTTCAACAAAGTTTATCTAATCATCTGAATTTTAGGATGCAGCCTTCCGTTTGAGAAGCACAATTCATCTCCCTCATGCTCGCTAAAAGCCGTAATTACGAGAGTTGTGAGATAAAAGATTATTTTAATTTTTATATTTTTATTACCATTCGCCTCCCTCATGCTCGCTAAAAGTAATTAGAAGTCTTGATTAGTTTGCTGATGCGGATAGATAGTTTTAATGAACCAGTTAAAAAAATTAAAAAAAACTATTCGGAGGTTATTTTACGGTGGAACTGGCTTGTCCACAATTTTGAGCGC